CTAACCAGCACCTTCATTTCCCTCCACTGTCTTGGCCGCAACCGTTACCACTGAGTTGTATCTGGGTACCTACCAACCAACACCCTCCAACCTCGTCCAACTTCTCCCCCGCCTCCACGCACCACTCCTCGACCACGCGATCCAGCTGGTAGACGCTAGTTGGCAACGTGGCAAGCAGCCCCGGCGAGTGGCGCTGTGAAACAGCGTTAGCAGTGGTGCTGCACGCTTTCCAAACACCGGTCGTCCACCAGCTGAGCCGATCCGGGTTTTTATGCGTTTTTGCGCTATTGCGTTGCTACAACGAGCAAAAACGTATATTGTCGAGAGGTCGTCTGTGTGTGTTCGGAAGCGAACCCTTTGTCACTCACTTTCATCGCAGCAACCGGAAAAGCTGTGAAGCCGAAATTTTGGGCACGGTCCTAGTCCCGCACTGCCCTAACTCGAAAATAATTGGCCAACGCACGAGCTGCCTGTGCGAAGATGCGTTGATTGCATAGTTCCCCGCAATTTTTTTCACTACTGGTACCGTTTTTTTCGGCAAATGCTTCTAGCTAAACAAATTGAGAGTGGCCGTCAGAACGTTCAGGAAACACCCCCTTAAAATTTCACCTTTCTAGCTTTCCTGACTCCTGGGTTAGCAGCTTACTGGAAGAAAACTTTCACGGGCCCGTACGTGGGTACCACGCGTACCCGATGTTAGGGTTTGAGCTCGTTGACTTACGTGGACGGGGAACATCTTAAAACTACAGTTTTCTAGCTTTTCAGGTTCCCGAGCTATCAACTTAGCCAAAAAAAACTGTGGCGGACCCGTACGTAGGAACCACGCGTAACGAGGGATTGGTTTGAACCTCACTAAGACTTACGTGGACAGGGAACGTCCCCGTAAAATTTCAGCTTTCTAGCTTTTCTGACTCCTGTGTTATCAACTTACCCCAAAAAGACTTTGGCGGGCCCTTATGTGGGTACCACGCGTACCCGAATTCTGGATTTGAGCTCAATGAGACTTAGTTGAACGGAGAATATCCTCTTAAAATTACAGTAATTTAGCTTTTCAAATTCCCGAGTTATCAACCTACCCGAAAAAAAAAATTTCATGGGCACATGAGTACCACGCTTACCCGGGGGCTGGATTTGAGCTCATTAATACTCACTTGGATGGGGAACATCCTCTTAAGATTCCAGCCTTCGAGCACCTCAGATCCCCGAGTTATCAACTTACCCGTAAAAAATTTTGGCGAGCCCGTACGCAGGCACCACGCGGGTAATGGCGCCCATTTTGAGGATTGGGGCCCGTATGTGCATGTAGATTAAGTTCCCAAAGTTTCAACCTTGTAGCTTTTGTAAGTCTTGAGATGAAAAAGCGTAACAGACGCATACACAGACAACCCCTCGTCAATATACGTTTGCTGCACTGCATAGCTGCAAAAAACGCATAAAATCGCATATTGTAACGACCCTATCAGTGTGAGTGTATATGTGTTCGTCTGTCCGGGTACTTCAACTCGCCAACTACATAAGCTTTGAAGCTGAAATTTTGCCAGTGTGCTCCCCAGCCAAGTACCACCACAGGACCGCTGCATCAGCTCTCACGTACGCCTGAGCCTCGAGTACGAGCACGTGAAAGTTTTGGCGGAAAAATTGCCAACTCGAGAACAAGAAAAGCTAAAGACTGAAACCATAGGGGAATGTTCCCTACCCGTGTATGATAAAAAGATTTCAAATTCAGCTACCCAGGACTGGCCGGGACTTACTTACGGGTACGTGTAAATTATGGCGAGAAAATCCATAACTCAGGAATGAGAAAAGCTAGAAAACTGAAACTCTGGGAGCATATTCTCTACTCACGCGCGATCAGAAGTTTTCAAACTCAGCTCCTTAGGACCGCCCGGAGCTCACGTACCGGTGCGAAAATTACTAACCCGGGAACGGGAAAAGCTAGAAAGCTGAAACTTTATGGCAATTTTCCCTATTCGTGTGTGAGCAAAATCAGGTGTTTAGAAGCGCCCGGGCCCATGTACGAGCGCTTGGAAGTTTTGGCGCTAAAATTACTAGCCCGGGAATGGGAAGAGTTAGGGAGCTGAAACTTTTGAGGAGTGTTTCCTACTCACATACAACCAAAATCAGGTGTTTAGAAGCACCCGAGGCCCACGTACAGGCACCTGGAAATTTTGGCGCGAAAATCACTAACCTGGGAACGAGAAATGCTAGAAAGGTGAAACTTTAGGGTAATGTTCCCTACTCATGTTTGACCAAAAAATTTCAAATTCAGCTCCTTGGAACCGTCCGGTACTCACGTACGGACCAGTGAAGATATTGATGGGAAAATTGCTAACTCGGAAACGCGAAAAGCTGAAGGCTTTAATTTTAAGGGAACGCACCCTAATCATGTGCGACTAAAAGATTTCAAATTTAACTCTTCTAGTTTTTCGCGGGCCAGCAACTTTCCATTTGTCTGGTTACTGAAGTCGACATCTACAACTGACATACCACATAGCTGCACAATTAACTTCCCGAACTTCGATGGCCAGTATGTCATAGGGTTAGCTACTGTGATTCCTTGCGATCTTAGTACGGCACGAAAAGTGCAAAAACGCATAATCACACTGGCTCGCCTGTGCGTTCCAGGCTGAGTAGCATTTGCATGTAAGCAAAAACGCATAATGACCAAAACTGCGACCATTCCATTGGGTTCCCACTGAAGTCTTTCAATTCGATTTGTGGCAACCTTACGAACTGTTCTCTTTGTTGAACATTAGAATCTTCGGCACCATTGTTACTTCCTGATTCTTCATGCAACCGATTGAGGATCGTTTTGATCCTGTGTTCATGAGACCTCATGCGATTCGGGGCTTCCTTGCTCCTCCTATCCATCATATACACCATTCCGCCGGTGCTAGACGCCATAGTCTCATATAACTCTGTTTCTGTTTTGGCTCACTGCCCGAAAGATTAGATAAGTAATCTTGCCATTTGTCGTGAAGGTGCTTCAGTGTCCCAGTGGCTTCGCTTATTCGACGCCTGCGTATTCAAATATTTGTTCCTCGTCTTCGTAAAAATCGTGCAACTCCACTGGATTTACGCCTGCTCCAGGTATTCCAATTGTAGGTTGTTCGGTCAAATATCGTTGAAGTCACGCCAGTGTCGAGTTAACTG